TCACGGTGACCTTGACCGTTGACTACCAAGATCTAAACAGTTTGTTCTTGAATCCAAATGGACGTTTGTGCCAAATTTGAAAAAATCCTATAAAAGGTGTTCTTGAGATTTTGCATTCACAGGGATGAGACATACAAGGTCACAGTGACCTTGACCTTTGACCTAAGACCACCAAATTCTTATCCGTTCATCACTGAGTCCAAAAGGAAATTTGTGCCAAATTTGAAGAAACTGCCTTGAGGTGTTCTTGAGAAATCGAGTTTGAGAATTGAATTTTTGACTTGTTGAATATTTTCTATATTTTTATAATAAAAACGCTGTTTTCACATTTTTACTACTGCCACCGTCTGTTTAACTTTGAAAACCTCAATCAAAAGAGTTCTAAAAAAAAAAAAAAATTAACCAAGCCTCATCCGAAAAACACGATTCATAAAATCCTACTTCCAACATGTTAGCAATTTAAGACTTTTAAAAGATTGGTTTAAGACATTTTAATACCAATTAAGGCCTTTTTTAGACTACTGAACTCAATGACTTTTAGGACTTTTTAAGGCAGTGGTTCCTAACTGGTCCAGCCACAGGGTCCAGATTTCTTCTTAGTCATTAGTTAAAGCTCCACACAGTTTAAAACATTCTGTATGTTTGGCCATGTCATCAAGTTAGTTTGCTGTCTCTGTCAAGTAGTTATCTGTTTGTCCCTCAAATTACAATTGAAAAAGGCACTTCAAATTAAGGCTCTTCAAAATTTACTGCACTTCACAATAAAAAGTGTGTTTCTACAAACTTGGCACGTTCACAAGTCACTTGTGGTCCATTCAGACCCACTTTCAGACTGCAAACCACCAGTTGGGAACCACTGCTTTAAGGATCCACTGGGACTCTGTCAAAGTGTTGAGTTTCAGTTTCTCTATGTGGCAGATTCACGTGCACAAATGTTTCTGTGTTTGTGTCTACTACCTGTCTGTTTATGAGAGCTGCCTGAGGCAAATTCCTATCAACTGTGTTGGCATGGCTATAAAGTATTGAATCTTGAATCCTGCCATTCAAATGACTCAGAGTGTCGACAGGTATTAGACACTTAAATTTAATGTTTTAAGATTTCTCAAGATTGCTTTTCACCAAATTTAAGACAGATTTTATGGATGAATCCTCTTTTTTCGATTCAAGCGTTGCAGGTAAATGGATAGATAATGAGGTAGGGTGATCTACATTTTTTCATGATTAAAATACAGTATCCATTTAGGGCAGTCAATGGCTTAGTGGGTAGAGCGTCCCATATATGAAGGAAATGAGGCCTACAAGTGCAAGTGCCTTAAGAGCTGACACTGAGTGACGCAGCTGGACAGCAAAGGTTTGACCAGTCGAAGTGGGCTGCAGAGGCTTCATAGGCAAGTCAACTACCAGGCTGCTCAAAGAAATGGGAATTCGAGGCCGAACCCAAAGTCAGGCTATCAAAGCCCCAGGTAAGTTGGTGGCTATGGATTGAGAGGGAAGACGCCACTTGGGCCCACGAAATACCACTCATGACAGCTCTCTGGAGATGTCATGGGCCTACCATTGAAACACCAGTGAAGGATGCTACCCACCTGATGACCCCAATAAAGCTTTTGCCCTCCCCTAGCTTTTACCCATGGCTCCAACCCTAATCCACAATCTCAACTATGTGCAGCAACATTCAACCAGTTAATCTCCACGGGGGAGAGTTTAGTCCGCACAGACATCTCTCCTTGGCTCTGCCTTCCCTACGCTCTTTCTTACCTTTCTATCTACCTTTGTTCTTTCCTATTTTGGTATCAATCTAACCCTTTGGCTCCCACTCAGACCCCCAGATGGTATGGAGCTATATTTGTGTCTTTATTACATGCGAGAAAATAAATGATATGAGAGGAGGAAAAAATGTTTGAGAGAAAAAAAAATATTTGAGAGAAAAAGTTTTCACACTGATAGCAAAAAATAATATTTGAGACTAAAAAAGTTTTGAGAGAAAGTATTTTGTCATAGAATATAAAAAATAATAATCTGAGATTTAAAAAATTATTTCCAAGAAAAAAACTCTCTCAAAAACCTTTTTTTACTCTCAAATATTATTTTTTTGCTATCAGTGTGAAAACATTTTCTCTCTCTCTCAAAAAAAAAAACTGTTTCTCTCAAAACATTTTTCTTCTCTCTCTCAAAGTCTTTGCTCTTCAAGTCTTTGTCAGGATTTTGCTCTCACTGTGAAAATAATGTCATGGGTGGGGCCACGTTCCTATTGGCCAGTCTCAATCGACTTGACAGCTAGATGAGGATCGTCTTGGGAGTTGAATTCAACTGAATCATTCATCCACCATGGTGGATTCACTGGCATAGATGTGCTGTGTTGGATCTCAAACTGTCTGCTCTGTGGTGTGAATGCAGGTGTCTAACCAGGAACCAGGAAGCGAGTCAGACGGTTACAATCCAACCTGTCATCTTCTATGTATCTGCAACTTTCACATCACGAGAAAAGAGGGAAGTGAAACTGTGAAATGTTTGTAATCAAGACACCATGATAAGACACCAGACTTTTAGCTGGTTGGTAGAGTAACTCCCTGTCTGGACTGCAAACGTCATGGCAGCGTTCACGCTAAACAACTGTGTTCGACTTGTTTTGTCTTGTCTTAAGATTTCAAAGTGCCAAGCAGTAGAATAGCGGCAGTGTGCAGTAAATGTACAGTGTAGTTCACAGTTTGCTTGTGAATAAACGCTGAAGATCCTCAATACCCAAGAAGTTTTTGTGTGTTGCTTTTCAGCTGCTGGACGAAAGTAATGGGAGAGTCTGTGGATGTGCCTTGGTTGCAAAATGTAGATAATTATATTATTTCAGTGCCTTTTTATTGGACATTAACCTCACGTTTACATGGGCATTGTCGAAAAAAATGACACTAACTTTATAAGAGAGGAACTGAAAATGCGGTCACCATTAATGACTTTATACTTTAAGGAAAGGAACAGCAAGGGGGACATTTGGTCAGAGACTGAATTGGTGACTCTCATCTTGGGTGTCCATCTTCAAACTGTGCTGACTGTATAGATCTTCTGTGCTGTCAGGGGGAAACGTGTGTGACTTTTTCTCAGTTACGACTTTATTCTCGTAATATTATGACTTTTTCTCAGTTATGACTTTATTCTCATAATATTACGAGTTTTTTCTTGTAATATTACGACTTTATTCTCGAAATCTCTTCTTCAATATGGCCCTAATACTACTTACTGTTGTACATTTATATATATATTTTTGCAATCCAAAGTTTTTCACAAGCCACAACACCTGAGGGTTTGACTAATACCTGGAACAATCATTAGGCTGATTCAGGCTGATCAGTAATTAAAGCGTGACATACAAAAACTTTATTACAGTAGCTGAAAAAGAAAATCTTTGTAGTTTTATCGTGTTTTATCTAATCATATAACTTTCCTGATCTTATTCATTTGTTGGGTCTTTGTCAGATGGGTCAATTTGCAGATTTGTTTGTGATGTTAATTCAATTCAGTAGAACTTAATTCATCCTGAAGGAAGTTCTTGATTAAAAAGTACATAAACGCAGACAGGGAGACACTCACCCTGACTTTATTATATATTACTAATATTATTATTTAACTATTGCTATTAGTGGCATCAGGGTAAAGATGGGATTAGTTTTAATATACTTCCTTCCCCTTTTTTACATGTGTTTATTTCCTCCCTCACCCTTCCACCTGTCAACTTGCAGAGCAGACACACCCACACACCCACACACACACTTGTTAGTGTTTTGAACTGTCTTGTAGTAACAAATTTGTTTTTTTTAAAAAGTACATCAATAAGGGGTTAGTTGAACTTTTCGCAACACAGTCACACAACTTAATTTGCTTAGCAAATGTCTCTGAAACAGAATAAATGCACCAACACATGCACAGTGTTGTCTGGTTCTAACTGTAACAACAATATTTAAATATCATTATCTCATGATCTGGGTGAAAACTGGGTGCCTGTTCATTCCTCATATGAGACACCTACCGAAGTGGGTCTAAATTAATGCACTGGCTGGTATCAGCCTGAATCAGGTCTTTCTTTTTCTTTGGCAAGCAACCATAGCAGTTCTGACCACACTGTCTTCTTAATCTTGATAATGGAAACCTTGTCTGGCATTACCCCCTCGCTAATGCAACATATCTTTAAAAATCGCGAATTACCATTTCGTGGTTGTATGCCTCCAGAAACCGAGTGAAGTTGCTCACCGATTACATACACGACCGTGAGAACATGCATGCTTCACACACATCTTCCCCCCAGCAGCACAGAAGATCTATGTAATTAGCAGTTTTGAGATCGACACCCGGGATTATCATCACTGATTCAGTATCTGACCAAGCTCCTGAGATGACGTTGACTAATGGTCAGAAAAGTTTCTGCTAAACATTATGATGTCACAGTGAAGCTGATCTTTAAACATTTGGATATAAAATGTCACTTCATCATTTTATCCTGTTAGACATTTGCTCTTCTGTGAAATTTTCATATAATCTGTGAAAGATTTCTTGAGCTACGGCCAAAAACATGTTTTGAGAGGTCACACTGACCGTGACCTTTGACTTTTGACCACCAAATTCTAAACCAGGGTGTCTATGGATATAACACAGTTAAATTTAAGACTGTTTAGACCTTTTTAATACCACCGTTTATGAAATGTAAGACCATACCTGCAATGGAAATACACATTTTATATATATGTATGTGTGTAATTGACACACGTGTGTAAGTACTCTTGATCTTAACATTGTGTTGACAACCTGAAAGCATATTGCATCTTCATTTTCTGACATTAAATAATATTCAGAATCCAAACACATAGCCTACTGTTGGTTGTTTCTCTATGAAAGTAACATTGCATGTTATGATATATTACCTTTATAGAGGTGTGTACACAGATCATTTTCCTTTTTTACACAGGTTTAACTCCACTCATGTGGCATGAATAAAATCAGATTGGGAGCGGAGCTTGTTAAGTCAAATATTTTATTGGCCGGAGTGGATCAAAGGTCGGGCAGGAGCCTGACCTGACAGACAGTATCATAACATCCAATGTGCTGACATGCTAACAATCAGCTGGAAACATTTGGCTTTAACAGTGAAGCTGAAGCTATTTCTGAAGAACGGCTACATCTAATCATTACAAACAGCACATCACTACAAAACAATGTAAAAATGCTCAGTGCTAACTGCTGAAAGTTGGGGAGCATGTCATGCGACAAAGCTGCATGCATTAAAACATTAAGACAGCTGGTGAGATGCATAACAAACACGTCATACGACCTCAGCTCACAACCAACACATAAGCGTCCTATCCACTTATGACCTGCGTGGTGACCATTGAGGTGGCGCCCGGCTGTGTGCCCCTTATCTTTAGCTCACGGCTCATCTGGCACCACACGCATGGGTAACACCAAAATAATTTGCAGCAGTCGTCACAGCAGGAGCCCTGCAGGAGAAAGAGAGGGACGACGAGAGAGAGAAGGGGTGAATCCAACAGTGGTAATTGGTGTTTTTTAGCGGAAAAATCTTTTGAGGTCTGTCATGCTTTATGGAAAGGATCCCTACAGTGATAGACCTTGTTGGAAAAGACATAGATCCTTAGATCCCCAAAATCACCATCGCCAAACCCACCAGACTCCATTTAAATAAACAGTAATTTTACCATCATAAAACACACGTCATTCAAAGTCTTTAGAAACAAATACCACCAACTCTGATTTGGTTGAAATAAACCTTTAATTCACCCAGTTAGATGTGAAAATATGCTGCCTCTAAAATTACTGTTTTTACTGAGTCTGGTGGGTTTTTGTGGGCAGTTGGGAACCTGTCAGTGTCACAAGGAGCACTTTTTGTGGATGTTAACTGACAGTGCATATTACCCTGAGCAGTCATGCTACAGGCCGCATTTTCCTGACCAAACCCGACTCGAGTCAGACACAACTATACCCAGCAGACTGCTACCTGACATATTTACTGTTATGGACAGTGTGTAAATGACCATCAAAAGGCTGCTGTGCGCAGTTTAACACGCAGCACGCACAGCAGCGCAGTCTGTGTTGCATTCAGGCGTTGTCACATAAATGACAAAGTCCAGCACTTGAATGGGCCACAGCACAACACAGTGGTGGGCCAAACCCGAGCAAAATTTCTGATTTGCTATCCGAACCCGGCCTGACTCATCGGGTGCCGTCGGGCTCGGGTCGGGTATCCATACTCTAAAGCCCACTGAAAACAGTTTAATCTAGCAGGCTATTTACGGACACTAAATATGTGAATGAGCCTGGCTGTCGTTGAGTTAATTCAAAGCAGAATTATTATTATTAATTTTTTTTTTTTAATTGGAGGTGGTGGATATGGAGCTATATGGAGCTACATTTGTTTCTTTATTATTCAATCAAACAGAGTAGGTTTTGCAATCAAAAAAAGGATTTGAGAGCAAAAGTATCAATATTGCAATCAAAAAATGTTTTATTGCAAGTAAAAATGATGATGATTAAAAAATGCAAATCCTCAAGTTTTGTTTGCAATCCTCAAGTTTTGTTTACTAATCCTGAAGTTTTGTTTGCAAATCCTAAAGTTTTGTTTGCAAATCCTGAAGTTTTGTTTGCAATCCTGAAGTTTTGTTTACTAATCCTGAAGATTTGTTTGCAATCCTGAAGTTTTGTTTACTAATCCTGAAGTTTTGTTTGCGAGTCATTTTTTTCCCGTTTGCAAGTCAAAAAGTTTTGCGAGTAAAAAGTTGAACCTGGTGGGCAGGGCCGAAATTGAAAGCTGTAAAACACGTCTCTATTGGCCAGTCTCAATCGGAATGACAGCTTGCAAAGCCTTTTTTTCTTCTTCTCTCGGTTGGTGGATTGCAAACAATTTAAAGGTACATACCGCCACCTACTGTACAAGAGTGTGCAACATCATGTCATTTAGCCTGTTTCTTAAGTTAGTGTGACATATAGGGTATTTATGTGTATCTGCCCACTCAATTGTGACACTATTTTATGCATGTGATATCGATTTTGTGTCTTTACAGGTACCATACAGATGCTCCCCAATCAATTTAAAGCATAACTGCTTTGAGTAAAGGCACGAGAGCAAATCTGGGTTTATTAACGGTTGGTTCTTCAGTTGGCAGTTACACCTAGAGTAAAGCTACTGAAGACCAGCAAAATCACTGTTTGTTTTCATTTATTCTTTCAGGTGGGTAAATGTCACCTAAGCACCTTCAGATTATCAGTAGTGTACCTACTGATGATCTACTACTACTAGTAGATCTACTACTACTACTACTACTACTACTACTGATCTACTTCATAGATCATTTGTTTATATAGTTTGTATTGTGCTTTGTGATATTGTTTGAGGGAACTGTAACGTAAGGTAACTGCATACGAGTTGATGCAACCGTCACTAATGCTAGCGTAGTTCCTCAGGGATTTAAGCTGTTATTACTTTAATCTTGACAATCTAACCTGTGGCAACACATTAGCTAAGGTTGTAAGGACTGTAACTGTTGGTAGCTGTTGTTGATTTTGTTTAAATATGTTGAATTATAATTTTATGGGTTATTGTTTGTCGGACGATTGAGCTAAGCTAAGTGACGCTAACGTTAGCTGTAACTTGTTGCCATAGCAATGGTAAACATTCAAATACGGGCTGAGTGCAGAATCAAGCTTCATTGTAAATATAGTTAAGATACATTGTATTTAACACAGCTTGTGGGATTTTAGTAGTTAGTAAACTATTAGAAAAAAGCTAAATCGCATAGAATAATACACGGTTTCAGAAGTACACGGGTCCGTGTGGACTAGGCCTAATAATTAGGGCTGTAGTCTCCTGGGTGACTAGTCGATTATTTGGTCACTATGCTCTCGTCCGACTAAATTCTCACTAGTCAAGTAATCGCCGTGTTACTTTCATAAGGAGAAAAGTGCTACATCAACAACTTTCCAGGATTAATCCATTATTTCCTGCAGTGGGGGGACAGGCTAAGTCACCTGTGAAAATGGGGGTGTTTTGAAAACACCCCCATTGTTGACAGAGAGTTGGACTCGCCCACCCTCACGCTCAGCGACGTGGTGACGCAGACCTCCTGTCTGTTTCTATAAGCTGAAACCATTTCCCTCAGTGGAAACTGAGCTTTTATTTACTTTAATTTCACAGATAAGAAACAATAAATTGTGAAGACAATAAAGCCTCCACTAAAATAGCATTTTAAGTCGTGTGTGTGATTTATCCTTCAGGGATTTATGCTTCGGGATTTATCCTGGCTTCCTGTGAGCAGAGGAAATCTCTGCTTGTCGCTAGGCTAATTTATACCATGTAAAATGCCATAGGCTTGTGCTAATAACGTTAGCATGTTGTGTGGAAAATGCGTTTAGTATAAGACAGTTGTTTTGTCGGTGAATGCTGTGAGTGGTAATGGAGCCAAATTATGTACCGTTACCTTTGTTAAATGTTGCTGTTGTCCCTGGTTTTATATGAGAAGTGGAGAAGTCTGCTAGCTGCTAGGCTAATTTATACAATGTAAAACGCCATAGGCTTGTGCTAAAAACATTAGCATGTTGTATTTGTGGGGAAATGTGTCCAGATAAAGACAAGTGTTTGTCTGTGAATGCTGCGAGTTATAGTGAAGCTGATTTGCGTACTTGTGTTTGAAACTGTCTCTATTAAGCCATGTTTAATGTGTGTTTAATGTGTTTTGAATGAACTATATAAATAAAGTTTGATTTGAACTACACTTTACAGCACTTAACACAGTCCTCCACCGCCGACTAGTGTTTTGGAGGTGTAACTGCAGAGTAACAGACACACCACTGCAGAAGTAAAAATAACGTGCAGATTTTTTTTCCCCCCACGACTAATCGATTAGTTGAAGACTGTGTGCGGCTTTAGTCGACCAAGATTTTCTTTGGTTGACTACAGCCCTATTAATAATAGCAAGAATGTTTTATTTGAACTGGTGCATGTAAATTGCTTATGTTTAGCCAGGGCAGAACTATTCAACGGCATAACGGTCAGTACCGTCAATGCCCCAAAGCAAAACTTTTTAACTTGCAAGCAAAGAGGACTGATTTATAAGCAAAATGATCACACGTTTTTACTTACAAACTTCATTTTTGCAGTTCAAGAAATATGCTCTCAAAACAGTTTTATATGATTGCAACAAAAAGACACAAAAATACCCCCATAGAGCTACATGAGCATCTTTAGGTCCAACTGGTGAATGTACGTTCAATATTAGGTCTCCTTTTAGCTGTGCTTTGAGCTCCACCACTGACAAAAACATCTGTCTCTTTAGCTGCTAAATATGCCACCATGTTTACCAACTTGCTCTCATTTTGTCTGTCTGTGGTTTGGTGCTGGGCAGATAGCGTGCAGAGGTCGATGAGCAGTGGTGAGTGAACCATAACAAAAAAGCAGCATTATTTGCATTTCAAACAGAGCTCCACATGAAAACTGTGAAAACGAAAGCACAATTTTTACACACTTCCTTAAATTAACATAATTATAAATCTACTGAATCGTATATCAAAAAGAGGCCAACTGTGAGCAAACTGGGTCACTGTATGTGTCGTGACATTAATACCCCTGTTTGCGGTGACTTTGCATTCAATACACAACTTCTGCTTTGAATGATCACACACAGGCCGCTGCTGACCAAGCTTTCATTATGGGTAAGATCTCAGAGAGCTTGAGGGGAAAGCTATAAACTGTTGAGGAAAATTAAATTTGTTTGTCTAATAAGCCATGACAATCTTGTTCCAATACAATGACCTGCAAAACATAGTTCCTCATTAACAAAAGAGAGGACCTCCCAAAACCAGTGATGTGTAGGGTTGGGAACCAAAACACAGTGACAATGCATTTCTGCCGACACATGAGAATTAATTAACATGTCATATTTCTTAAAGGGAGTCTGACATTATATTTGCTGCCAGGAGCAGAATGGAAAATAATCTCAAATGCAATCTCGTGGTAGTCTTGCAAACAATGACTCTACAAGATCCCCAGTCTTTGCAACATCTTAGTGTGCGACTGTAAACTCACGGTCTTGAGATGTGAGAGCGTGTCAGACTTTTGTTATTTAAAAGTATTTTAAAATCTTATAGTATACGATAGGCATCAGTTTTTGTTACCTATCACGCACTACACAGTGTGCACATTTCTAAATTAATGAGCCGACATTGTAACTCAGGGTCTTCCCAGCGCTAAGCTTAAAATGAGGGACTGAATTTGACCCTAAACCTTGGTATAGATTATTCTTGCTTAAAGTGCTTCACTAACACGTCTTTACTTGTTTCTCTACAATGGCATGTTCAAAACGAAACCAATTGATGTGAGATTGCGAAAACTATTGTGTAACTGTAAACAAGTATTCTCACTGCAGCATTTCAAAACTAAAAAAATGAGGAAGGATGGTGTTGTATTTCACAGTGGCAACTCCACTGTACTCTGTACTAACTGGCCCAGGAGAAACCACAACTACTGCTTTTGTTACAGGACACCCTTCACAGGACGCTTCTTACTTGTAATTACTCAAGTTATGTTACGATGTGAATCAACTACAGCCGTTAATCTACCATACGGTGCCATGTTTCTTTGAGTAAAAACCTTTAGTCTCACCATGTACTCATACAAAGAGGCTAGACAGAAATCAAAACTGTCAATGTGTGTCCACTACATTGCTTTTTTTTGCCACTGACAGGCTCAGATTGTTACTGTAAGTGTCTAAAAAACTCTAATTTCTTTGTCAGACTTAAATACAGAAGTTTTATTTGAAGAGTCCAGTGTTTAGGATTGAGTGGCCTCTAGCAATGGCTGATACAAAAATGCGTGAACGCAAATGTCCCCGTAGAGCCAATGTTTGATTTGTCCATTCTGGGCGACTGTAGAACAACATGGCAGACTTCGTGGACAAGGACCTGCTCCGTATGTTGATATAAACAGCTCACTCTAAGGTAGCTACTACACAACGATTCTTATTTTAAAGGTGATCATACACTAATAAAAACATATTTATGAATATTATATACCATGTCTGCCAAGTGATGCCCCTAAATCCTACACACTGGACCTTTAACACCAAGCTTAAAAACAATGTATTGTGTTGCCCACGTACAGTTTCATGTGGTGTGTGTTTGGGATACAGGTCATAGGAAATTGCAGATTAAATAATCAACTGAACCCATTAAGAAGAGCAATGTATTCAGACAGTTTTTAAATATTTGATAGTACGATTGCCATTTAGCCATTTTTAAGCATTTTTCTGTTGTTATAGCGCCACCCAGTTGCCAATTAGGGTTAAATTTCTCCAGTCACCTTGAGGCGTCCTGTTCTACATATCTACCAAGTTTAGTAAAAATCCATGTGGTGGTTAGGCCTAGATAAGAAATTAGCTCTCTAGCACCCCCATTTTGTTTGATGGGGTCAATAATGGAGGGGTCCCCTCAGATAAAGTGTGGTCATATGCCTACAAAGTTGCGTGGTGATGGGTGAAACCCTTGAGATGTTATACACCTTCATGTGATGAGCCACACCCTCCGCAATATTCATTGCCTCATAGAAGCTCAGTTTTAGTAAGTTTTCCAACTTTTGCCAAGAGGGAACTTTAGATATTGGTCCCTAGATTATGTTCACCCAGTTTCATGCAGATCACTCAAACTTCCTGGGAAGAGATCCATTTGAAGTGTTTTTCAAAAAATTCAAAATGGTGGAAAATCTATATAAGCGGAAGTTATGGGTTCTTGAGGCAAATTTGTTCCTCATGAGGAGAGGCATCTCTGTGCAAAGTTTCATGTCTCTACGACATACGGGGCATGAGATATGCCCATTCAAAGTTTGCAATTTCAATCAGTTGCTATAGCGACCCCCTTTGGCCAGTTGATGTAATATTGCTTCATTCGCATCCTCCCATGACCCTCTACCACTGTGCCAAATTTCACATGGACTGACCAAGTCAGTGAGGAGAAAAACGTGGAACAGACACACAGACAGACAGTTTTCGTCATTATATAGTAAGATATGATAATGTCACATAGATGATCCTCTTAGATAATTTCTGTTTCTTTGCGTTCCTGCTTGAGCCTCATTTATGGTTGGGTGCTCGACACTTGATGCTCTACAGTAATGACATGTTTTCAGCAGAAAAGTATAGCTTAATACTTCTCCTTATGCGCCTGGAGAATTTTGTTATGTCATGCACACTATCATATTTTGTTGCACAATGTAACTGGGTAGTGCTACTTTTGCCGCTGCGGAAATATTAATTTTCGGTTTACACCTAGTTCTGCATTCAGCGTCTCTGGCCACAGAAGTGTCTGGTCAAACTACCTGGACTAGGCTGTGTGACAGCCGACATGTACTGAATAAAAATAGTTAATAAGCCAGTGCTTACTAGATCATTCACCTGAAAGTCATAATTTATCAGAAAAAAATTTAACCCTGCAACCACCCTCCCCATGTACACCCCCCCCTCCCTCCCTAAGCCAGCCTTACGGGGATGCCGTGGCGCTCTCTAATGCCGGCACGGAGGATGCAGGACACCACACAGCAGAAGTCCAGCAGTGGCATGCAGCAGCACCAGCCATAGTCACTTGCAGCCTTACACTGCATGCAGGGGAAGCACCAAAGACCACAGCAACCTGGAGGGCAGAAGAGATGAGTGTGTTTTTGTACTGACATTTTTCCCTGTGACAGTTCCTTTAAACACACTTACAGTAAAAGGCTGGTTTCCTGCAAACTGTTATCTGAGGCTCTGAGGGAGCTTTATCAGGTCTCATAAAATAATCTTGAGGTCTCAGCAAGGGCGTAGGTTTGGTTTCAAAAGTGTGGGAGGCTATATGGCATTTATTCCCTTAATTTATACACATTAAATCAATCCAGCAGATCTTCTTTAATCTGGACTACGGTGGCTGGGAAGTCAGAGGATGATGGAGACTTTGATATTGTATTTAGAAATCTGGAGCCTGAACCATACCAGGATTAAAGTTGGGATATCTCTGCCTCTGCTGCTTCCTGTTTTTAAAGTTGCCTCTTGTGAGTCCAGCAGTACTAAACTGCTGGAGAACGTCTTTGTTTCTTAGTCTTAGGCAAAACCTCAAGTGTGGTATATTTTTTCAAAGATGTAAATCAGTATTTTGTACCAGTATTTTGTTAAAACCAACATAGGTACGGTTTTCAACTTTGTATTTTTTATTTATTTGCAGGATCAAGGATGAACTTTGAGCCTCTGCTGTTACGCCAACATAACCGAGAAGTCCTTGAAGTGCTGAGAAAAATGGAAATTTGGACAACTGGACAAACCCTGTGTGAAATGATCAGATGCTCATTTCCTTCGCAGATAGTTTATCTAACAGAGAGACACTCACAGAAAGTTGTTTTGACTGGACCACTGAGCGTAGTTACATAGCCGTCATCATGTTTACATTTCACACAGATAGTAACATTACAGCTGCTACTGTTTCTACATCAATAGGGGTGACATTTATGTGCATACAGTATGCTGGGAAAAAATGTCTGCTGAGATGAGTGACACAAACTGGTGAGCAACACTACTGAGGTGTGTTGGATGAACTTACAGGTGGCCATATCGCTGCAGCAATCACAGAGGCCGGTGCTCCATGTCCCAGGGCCGTGGGAAGTCGTCACCACTCTCACCACCTGGGTTGGCTGCTGTTGGACGGCCATGTCTGAAGGATACAAGACAGATATTGATAAACTTCTCGGGATGTTTTCTGGTTCACGTAAACAATAACAAAGTCAAGTTTACACACAACTAGGAATACCCCATGTGTTTATGACTACATCTTGTTGAGTAATCATATTGAAGAAAGAACTTTAAACAGAGTACTTGTAGATGTGCTAGTATTAAAGCTATCCTTTGGATGGACTGGCAACTTGTACAGTGTGTTTCCCTGCATTTCAAGCAGTGTATGCTCGAACAGTAATCTCCAGTAAACCCCAATTAACATCTTTCGAATAAACAGGAAAGCCGACAGGAAATTTACAGTACTCCTGCCTTAAGGTGCTGATGGGACCTGTTTTCAAGTATTTATGGTATTTATCTTGGTGGATTGGTCAATAACATACTGTCTGGTGTGGTTATCTTATCCATGTGCAATTTCTCAATGGATTTATTTCTCAATATTTGCAGATAACTTGATATAAACGTGTGCAAGCCTAAATTAGTTTGTCTACAGGTATCCAGCAGCTAAATATAATGTTGTTTTAAGAACTTAAATCTCAGAGTGACTTTTGGAAAAAAACAGTTTTTCTTAATCAAGCACTGCAGGTAAGTATGAAGGCAAGTCGCATTATTGTTGTCCAGAGCAAAGGTATGTTTTATGTAGGAATATGGCCATTTAGAGTGACTCAGGTTAATCTACATTTTGCCGACACGTAAGTGCAAGTGTAAAGTAAAAGACGATATGAGAATTAAGAGCAAAACATGTTTAAATGAAATTAGATCAAAGGTTTGTGGCAATTAAGACCTCACAAATTTGAATTTAAGACAGTTTTTATCTAACAAGGTAAAGTTTTCACTATGTTAATTTCATTTCCATCATTTTTATTGCAGGAAAACGTATCTCACGGGCGGAACAACCAATTTACTGTATTATTCTTGTAGGCTACCGAAAGTCTAATTTGTATTTTCAATAATAATAATAATAATAATAATAATAATGTTTTTCACCCCAACCCCTAATATTTGTGTCCTTGTACTTTTGGCTGTCTAGCTTATTTAAGCCTATACATTAAAATGTCTTACAGTAATGTTACCACAATGTAAGATTAGGTTAAATAAAATGGTCGCCTATACGTATGCGCCTGGAATACAGTTGAATAACACTGAACTTCAAACACAATGTAAATGTGACTTTTTAGTACACAAATCATATTATACTTATATTTAGTTGTTACGTATTAAATTACAGCTTCAACTAATAATTAATTTTGCTTTGACAGTCCACACACAATTAGTTTAGCCAAATCTAAAACCGGGCAAGGCAAAGTGCAGTAGCTTAATTAGCAAGCTAACGTTAGCTGACTAACAGTCATCGCCGAATTAGCAAGCTAACGTTAGCTAACTAACAGTCATCGCCGAATTAGCTAGCTAACGTGAGCTAACTAACCATTATCTCCGGCTAGTTCGCTCGATATTTTTAATATATATTTGATAATATATCATTTTTATAACTCCGAATCCTAACGTCTCTTTAAGCATCGCGAAGTTTATCTTACTTTATTCCATTGAATAGAAATCACAAAATCGTCGTACGAACAGCATCAGATAGATTTATGCTAGCTAGCTTGCTAACATTGGAACCAAACTCGGCTGTGCTTCCCAATTAGCTGCTGGCTAATTAAACTTTAGATTCATGCTTTTACATTCTTTTGGACGCTGTTTATTGTCATGTGCATATTATTTAGCACGTTCCCAACACAGACTGCACCCAGTCATCAATTTTTATATTAGCTAGAAAATAAAAAGGTTTGGTATATTTAAACTAGCTAATTAATGTTAGGATCAATTAACTTCAACGTTAGCTTAAATGTTTCACTCCCTCAAGTTGTAGGTCACTGGAAATTGTGAAAATGTATCATGACTTAAACTGACATGACAAAACTTTTGATAATAAAGCCAAGTGTACCTTAACTGTAATTCTATCGGACATCATATGGGAACAAGTGTAATGTGGCTATAGATGTAAAATAAATATAACTTTTTGCTTTGTTGTAATCTGTAATGTCTCCTTTTTTCCATTTTCCTAAAGTAAATGGTTAAATGTGGTGATATATTGGTAACTGGAGGTTATAATGAGAGTTACAAGTTCTTTCTACTTTAATCTACAAGTGTTTCATCACTGCAATTAAGTACATTTATTAGCCAAAACAAAAATATGCCGCTGGCTAAAATAAGCAACACCTAAATTATTATTACATTATTATAAACTCATTGCAGGCTTAACATCAGCCACAGACTGCTAAACGTCCTATTAAGGCAAATGTAAAAACGTCTCCTTACCTTGTCTCTAGTTCTTCCGTAAGATGTGAAAGACTAAGAGGAATGTTTGATCCAGTCAGCATGAACGCAGCAAAGTGTGTGATGAAATGTGCTCTGCTGCTTCACTAGTGGTTTCGTTTCTGGGTAAAGCCTGCCCACATTCAGGCCCTCACACCATCACACCCCACACAGAAAACTGATAAAATGTCTTGGGGGTGCCAGATGAACTTTGCATCAAACCCATTACAAGTCATTTGTGCACAAGGATGCAAACTCACAATTTGCATGAGCAACAACATGCAAGATATGTACTAAAACTCAACAACAGTGATTTCAGAGCCAGGGCAGTGCCTTGGGGCAATATATACACAAGGCACAACTGACACAACAGGATAATGGGTGACTCATAACGTTTTGACGACGTGCCATGCTTTCTACTCACGCCCAGGAGATTTAAAAAGTAGCGGATAGCAGTTAGCAGCTAACTCTAAGAAGACGACAGTGGCCAAAAATGTGAGGTCCAGGAGCTTCTTACCCTCCGATCAGGGGATGCGATAAGTCGTCCTATAACAGGGACAGGAAATGATTGTCATTGGCATGTTATGCCATTGTTATTGTTTCTAAAGTGCTGCGAACACATATAGTATATGTCACAGTAGAGGCCGACGCTGTTGTGTTGCCAGATCACAGCTTCTGCGATGCCGTCCCACTGTCTAAAAATCACACACAGGAGCAGCATGAGGCCACCGTTGTTTGGTTCTGTGTAAAAAAGCAAAGGCGGTGTAAAGAAGGGACTTCGTAGTGGCCCTATAGCACGATCTCTTTGTAAAACAGGCTCACGTTGTTTGTAGGAATATCCGCCACTGGGCCAGAGTTATCAATGATCAAACTTTATATGATCTAGTTCAAAGTAGGTTAATTTACAGCAGACTGTCCAACAAAAGCCAGAAAATTTAAAGTAAAACAGTTTAGTACAACATACGATTAAATTGTGGTTAGTAGTTGCAATTCACTACAAACTACTCCCAGTGTAAAATGATACTGGGACATTACCTGAAGGTCATTAAATAGCACACAGTAAAATATATTATTCCTGAATGGCTGCCATACACTATGAGTAGAATCATTATGGTCACACTGGATCAAATAATGACATATTGGAGAGGCCCTAGGCGTAGATTTTACGGGGGATGCAATTTATAACGTGTGCACTAAAAATAGATAATGATTACATTTTCTTTCATTGTTAGATCAAATAGCTATGACAAATGGAGTTCAGTACATGGAATTATCATTAAATAATCCACTGGTGATTTACTATGATCAGTCAGTGGAACTGTACAAAATTATTACAGGAAGAAACACACCAGTTACAGATTTAACTCTGCCTCTGCACCATAAAAGTCCCTCTTATGGCTGTATGGTTCCTAAAGTAAATGTGTGTTGTTCATCCGTGAACAGGCATTTTGCATATCTGTACAAATAAAATGATAAATGACTTAAACAAATATGAAGCTGAGGGCTCACAAGGGCAGTGTAACGACACCACCTGCAGGTCTGTGGATTGTGGAGAAGCAATACAAACAGGCCTGAGACTATGGTGCTACCTTAGCGACCCTGTGAGGCTGTGGTGATACTTACACAAGGGACTGACTGCTGCTCTTAAGTAGGACAAAAATATAGTTAAGCCATGATAAACTGTGGGTACGTTACCAATCAGGTGCAGGCAGGATGGTCCCTGAGTCACAGCCTGACTTCTGTTAAATTCACTGCACGCCTGTAGAAAACCCCACACAGGTGGTTTTAATTATTTTTGCCTCATTGGGAGAGTGTAGGCATTTTTTCCCAATCAAAACTTTATTAACAGCAGATTATTGTGGTTTGTTGCGCATGTTAGATACTGCACATCATAGGGCACTGAGATTTGTTACAAATTGTAAAGCCCTCACTCATCACTGTCGCTTTATTCCAGGGCAAGTTGGCCATCTTTGACCCTTTAGTAGGCTTCGACCTTTATAAAGCCATACTGGGTACACTCCCTTTGTACATTTGTACTGTGATTGAACAGAGATCTGAATGTAGCTACAGTCATTGCAAACCAACTGAAGTCATCTGCCAGGGTTGTCCAATGTTTCTCAAGAGATGAGATGCCTTGAAACCCTTTTTATTTCCTAAATACTCATAAAATACTCAAAGAATATTTGAAGTTCAGCATAAAACAAGTGTTTGTTCCGAAGAAAGTGAAGAAATAAGACCTTTTGAAAATTATCAAGTCATCAATTCCCTTGTTGCTAGACTCTACATTCAAAAATAACACTATGCTTTTTGTATCTGGGACCAAGAGTCTCCGTGATTAAAGGGGACATTTAAGTCAAAAAGTTACTTGAATGAGTTCAGACATTAAATAGGCGAGAAAATGACTCAACCTCCTTTGCGCTGAAGGAACGTAAAGGGAAACATCAGGTGTAAATTTGTACAGGAAGTCATGGCATGTGTACAATTTTTACATAAGTTTCTTTAACTTTAATGTGGACAAAATATCTATTACATTCAGTCCAAACATTCCTGCTAATATTAAACTGATGTCTCCCTCTACTGTTAGCTTTGATGAAGCTGATGGAACAGGGTGAACACACCTTCATAGTTCTCAATGGTAGATGGAGTCCTGACACCTCTTGATTCCCAATGATTCCTCTTGAGGTACATGCAACACAGAGCACCTCTGATCGGCCTGCTGTACCTGCTCTGGGCAGAAGGTGGCAGCATATGTCCAACAGTTAGTTTAGGTGGCACACTGCACTGTTTCAGATAAAGGGAGTCCCAGCCATGAAATAAAAAATTAAGGCAGGAGACAAATCAACTTCAGACAATCATCACTTTGGAACACTCTTAGAAACAAGGGTTCCAAATGGTTCTTCCTGAAGAGCTGAAGAAAGGGATCTTCAAGGGTTCTTTGTAAAACTAAAGATTCAAGAGAGTTAATCAATAATTGTTGAAAGCATGGGGTGTTAAAAGATTCTTACCTTGACATATTCAAATGCTTACCCATGTTTCTAATGGTAATTTTAAATGTAGAGTTTCAGTTCCCAACACTTCTGCACCAATGAAATAATAGAGTGTAGTGATTTCAATAAGTCTCCATCCCCTATAACGTGACTGCAGAATAGGATTGTTGTGGGTTGGATCACATCAGCCCCGGCCCTTTAGGAACCTAATGAACCCCAAGGCTGCTGGATGTGGTTCCCTTGGCCCCTGGATAACCTGTTTGGGCATTAATCTAATGCCCAAAGTAATGAAGTGAATTGCCATTTTCAGGACCTCCTGTGTGTGTCTTGGATAAAATCCTTGGCATATAAAAGGGATCTTGCTTGAACCCCCTGGGTGGGTTCTAGATGAAACATTTGGAATATAAAATGATTTTTGGTAGAACCACCAGCTGGGTTCTAGATGAAACCATTGGAATATAAGGAGGTTTTCGGCAGAACCATCTGGCTGGGCTTTAGATAAAACCTTTGGAATATAAACGGGTTCTCAGTAGAACCCCCTGGCTGGGTTCCAGATGAAAACCTTGGCATGTTGATTGGGTTCTAGATAAAATCCTTGGAAAATAAAAGGGTTTTTTGGTGGAAACTCATGGGTAGATGAAACCTTTGGAATATACAGCCGTTTTTGGTAGAACCTACTGGCTGGGTTCTAAATGAAACCTTTGGAATGTCGGTAGAAGCTCCTGAGTGGGTTCTAGATTTAACCTTTGGAATTTAAAATGGTTTTTGGTAGAACCCCCTGGGTGGGTTCTAGATGATATCATTGGCATTCAAAAGGTATCTCTGTAGAACCCCATGGATGAGTTCTAGATTAAACCTTTGGAATATAAAAGGGTTTTTGGTAGAACCCCCTGGCTGGGTTCTAGATTAAGTCCTTGGCATACAGAAGGGTTCTCGATCAAAACCCCTGGGCAGGTTGTAGATGAAACTTTTGGACAGTAGAACCTCCTGGGTGGGTTCTAGGTATAGCCCTTTATGCTGGGTTCAAGGTAGAAGCCTAAAAAAAGGGTTAAAATTGAACCTTTACAAAGGGTTCTACCAGGAAACAAAAAGGGTTCTCCTGTGGGGATAAGCAGCGAAAGAATACTCTATGGTTTTAGTTAGCACCTTTATTTCTAAGAGTGTACGATAACTTTGTAATTCCATTTTCAAAATCAATTGTCTTTTCAGTGTGAAGACAGAATAATGTTTTTAGTTGACTATGATTTTTTAAAAATTAAGAATAAAAAAATTACGCAAGACATAAAGTCTCAAGGATGTGGTGAGACACACACACACACACACACACACACACACACACACACACACACACAGAGGGAGGGAGGGAGGGAGGGAGGGAGATGTGAGCGGTTGATCGTTTTGAGTCAGTCTTCAGCCAGACGGCAGTGAGAGAGGACCATGCGGCGCACAGCATCATCATTATCTTCATCATCATCAACCAAACCCAGCTGAGGAATAATGTCAGTAAACAACAGCACGGGGTCATTAGGCCTACAGGTGACAGAGGAATACACCTGCGTGCGTTTTTACGTGTCCACCGTGTCCTTCTCGGTGCTGCTCTTCTTCAACCTCATCATCAACTGGACCATCGTGCGCGTGGAGCAGCTCCGGAGTCATGCCCGCTTCGTGCTGGTCTTCCACCTGCTGGTGTCCGCCCTGGTTTACCTGGGCATGAGCAGCATCTTCTACTACCAGATCCACCTGGACGCACGGCTGGGCCGCTCCGCCTGCCTGGCCATGATCACCATCCTGATCAGCAGCGCCTCCAACATCCTGCTGACGCTCACGGTCATGGCTTTGGACCGTTACTGCGCCGTGTGCCACCCGATGCGCTACAGCTCCACCTGCACGGCGGGGCGCTGGCCCTGGCTGATGGGTGCCGTCACCTGGCTGGTGGCTTTGGTCATTCCCATCAGCCTGCTCCTCCGCCCGGACTCCCAGGCCGCCAGGGCCGCTTATAACGGAGTGTGTGACCGGGAGCAGCTGAAAAACTTCCAGCTACAGAAGGTGCTGTTCGTCGGTGTGTGCACCATACTCATACTGTACAGCTATGTGAGGATACTGGTGGAGGGGCGGCGGTTAGGGGTGCTGAACCGGCGCAACCGGGCCGGGTG